ACTCATGCTGTGCATTCACTCAACCTACCACACTCCCATGCAGGGCTTTTTCAATTTTCTGTCAGCTCAACTAATGTAACCAAGACAGTGTTTTTCTATAAACTCAGAGAATTATTTTTCAGCCACTTCCCAAGTAGCTTGGAAATTATACACAGTTTGATAGTAAAACAGATTTCCAATGGGATGTCTTCTAAGCATATCCTGTTTTCTGCCCCAGTAAAACTGAATGCCATTCAATCACAAAGACAAAAAGCTTTTTCAAGAAAATACACAATATTGATACACACCATTATCAGAAGCAAGAAATGTTGCATTATACATATTGTTTTGCACATATATTGACTCTCTGTCCAAAACAGCTGTAGTAGTTATTTGTCCATTAACAGGGTCAATTTTCAGCCAGTTTGCAGGATCTGAAAGTTTTGAGTACCTGTGTATTTAATCATAAGTTGTGTTATTTATCTGCTAACATAAATATTGACAACAATGACAGTATTAGTATTTTAATTTGTATTCTGAATATGTTTTTGGAATTCAAAGACAGCATTTTACAAATTTCTATTTATCAAGCCCTGTCAGTAAATTTATTGGAAATACATAATGAAACCAGTCTTGCATTTTGATTCTTGAAGTGCCTTCCCTGTAAGTTATCATGTAATGATAATATGGAGGAAATAATGTAATTACCATAAACTATATAACATTAATACTCAGACTCAATTAAAATATTCAGTCAGGCTCCTTCTTGGTTTTTCTACACCTACAGAGTTATTCATACTAATTTTCATCTTGTCAGAGTGCAGAGAGCAGGAGAGAGGTAAAAATGGATAGTGTTAGTTGCACTAACACACATTGTTCTAGCACTTCAATATCACTTCATTTTCAGAGTCCCTGTTTTTACTGCATGTTTCTCATCTTAATTTGAAAGAGAAGTGTCTTTCAAAACCATTCTTCTATCTGATAAATTTTCCCTTTGACATTAATCAAGTGCAAGCTGTCTTAGTATTGAAGTCCTCATGCTGTCATTTCTATGATGGTGATGTCCAGAAGTGAGCAAACCAAACAGCAAAACAAACAGCTAACCAAAATTCAAGAGAAAATAAAATTGCAATAATCTTGATTTTGGAAGGAAAGATAGAACATAAGTTCTGGAATTTCTTCTACATGAGGTAAAAAAACAAGCTGGATAAGGTGAGTCCTGACCCTTGGGCAGTCACAGCCTTAGTTTTGTAGCTAATGACCATGTCTTATATGAGGCATGCTCATGTAGAAAAGTGTCAGATATAAGAAAAAATATGATCAAATTATGATGATAGCTATCAGTACAAGAGACCACAGAGAGACCACCACCACTTTGCACGGCTGGAGAAAAAAGAAAAACCTTCAGATTTCATCAACAGTCCGTTTTTGTTACCATGTGAAAATTACTGGTGAATTTTAATTGCAAATGATCTTAGTTCACAGAAGTACATGTCTGCTCTGACTGAATTTGTCAGGACAGAACATATACTTTACCACAGATGCATAACTGCATTCTATCTTGATGAAATGGGACTTAGGATGAGAAAATGACCCAGTTTACACACCTATGAATACTGGTCAGTTCACCTTCCCTACAGCCAAAAATCCCTTTGGAGAGAGCTGCACAAAACCCACAGATGTGCTGGGATAGCTGCACGCTATGGTAAATGCAGTCATTTCACACGTCATCTCTTTGCTCCCCACCCACTCCATAACACAGACATTGCAAAATGCTTTATATAGACCTTAGAGATGTTTGCTGCATGTAACGATCCGGGTCCTGCGCAGTGAAAGTTGTCAGCATGCTACCAGCCATCAGCCCTTCTTCCTGACGCACGAGCTTGGGGTTTGGAACAAAATATGGGCTCTCATTCACATCAATGACAGTAATGGACACAGTTGCTGTTGACTGAGGAGGATGCTGAATCCCCTTAGCCAAAGGCACTTGGTTTTCTGCAGCTACGGTAAGTACAAACATCCTGTTGGTCTCGAAGTCAATAGGCTGGGAAGAGCAAAGAGCAGGAAGTGTTAATGTTTACTCACGGCAGCAACGGACACACAATGACATTTTAAATTTATAGCATATTTCAGAAGATTACTTGTACTGCTTTTATCAGAAATGAGCACACAGTCTGAAGAGAGCACACCATCACCTCAGCACAATCCCATATGCTGGGGGGTCTTGCTTAGCAGCAGCAGGAGCAATTTTCAAGTCAGAAGAGCTAGAAACCTTGTCATTCCTGGATTTAACCTACTGTGCTACTGCCATTAGAAACATATGATGAAACAAATACTTTAATCACAAAATGATGAAGCTCCCACCTTTGTGCCAGGCACTCACATGTGCCTCCTGATGATCTCTCCAGGGGACAGAAAGCTGCCTCTTTCTGTTAGAGGCATGAAAGTTTCCTTCAAACAAGTTCCTGACTATAGCTTTTCCCATAGATCAGAGATTCTAATGCCCTCAACATCTCATCAGAAAGACTCCTGGTGATCCCAGCCAACCTCATATCTGGTATACCTACAGCTTCCATCTTCCCAGTAAAGACAACCTTCAGTTTGGAGATTTCCTCACTGAGCCAGAAGTCCAATTTAAGGAGAAGTAAAAACAGTGTGAATCTGGAGTTCCTCTGTCATGCTGCACAGTGTTGAGGCATTCCTGGAGACAGGATCTGCCTTTGTACTATGCACTGTACTACTCACACAGATCCCAGACTGGGAGAAAACCCTGTACCTTACTGGGGCAGTTGGCATGTGACAGCATGAAGTAAGTGACAAGAGACATTCTAATCCTCATTACAGGTTGACAGATCAACTCATTGCACTGCCAATAAAAACTGTAGGCAGGTTTCCAACTCTTCCCATGTCTGGGCACTTAAAGGAGTGCTAAAAAGCACAGACACATAAATCTTCCTGGAAGGCTGCAATGCAAGAATTGGTACCTCTGGGGAAGAGCAGTTATAAACCAGAGACAGTTCTTAAAAAAGCCCAGTGTGAATTACCATTAATACTATTTGTAGGCTGTATCTTTTTGTCACCTAGATACTGGGCGGATTAAAAGAAAACTAAATTAAATGAAATGAATCGAAATGAAAGGAAATGAAATAAAATTAAATGAAATGAAACGAAAGCAAACAAAATAGAAAGACAACAACAACAAAACAAAACCCAACAAAACAAAACAGAAAAAAAAAAAAGGAAAGAAAAAGTGAATTTTTTAATTTCCAAATTAAATTACTGGCATTGGACATTTGACTTTGAAATGGATTAGCCAAAACCAGAGCAGGCCAACTCAGTGTTGAGACATTTATCAGAAGGTCATGAGGAAAAGTGGCTACTGCCTGGCAGGTTTAATTATAGAACCACACTGTTATCACTTGAAATAAGTCATCCCTCAACACAGGGCTGTGTTGGTTAGACAATGAAGATAGACAGGTTATTCCATAAAAGGTATTCAAATGAGGTTTTAAAAATAGCCAGTCTTTAAACGTCTTCTGTAGAAGTACCCTCCCACCTATCATCTTTTTCCTCTCTGATTGTGCTTTGACTGCCTATATCTGTTCCTTAATGGAACATCTTGACATAAAATGTGCAGACAACATGCATGACTACTAAATGAGGAGGTAGGAAGTTGTTCCTTTACACTAGCAAAAAATACTAAGCCAACACTTTTTCACAGAGTAATTTTTAACTTTTAGCAAACAAAGATTCAAGATTTCTAATTTCTAATAACCTAGCCTGATTTTTAAAACTGAGCAGGTGGAACACTACTGATAGCATAAGCAAAGCAACATTTGAAGGGACAGGTTACTCGATTCCACAAGAAAGGGAGCATCCATTTTACTCCAGGCTCATGGTCGCCTCAGGAATTCACATTTCCCCCCCGTTCAGTGTTCTCCCACTTGTTCCATCTCTGCTGAATTCTCTAACACACAAGCATGCCTTACCTTTACGACCGTGACCAGCCCATCGTTGCTGTTGGGATCGGTGAGGATGGTGAAGCGGCCCGTCGGGTCTCCCCCCGTCATTCGGTACAGCGCATTCCATGCCGGCGTGTGCGGCTGGTCTTTATCTGTCACCGTCAGATTCGCTACGATCACATCCACCCTGTTTTCTGGTACTTCCCCATAGAACTGCAAAAACCATGGAAACACTCTGCCTCATCTGGAGGAGCATGCGAGAGCCACACCAGGCTGAACACTTATCAAAGCTGGGCGGCCCATCTCTCTTCACTGGAGCTCTGATAATTTATCTAATTTTTTACTTTAGTTGAAATTTACCTGAGGCCATCCAGAGAACCAATGGCTTGATTCCCTTGTTGGCTTTTGCCTTTTGGTCAAAAGCAGAACACTGTATGTAAGGGATATATATTCTGCACATATTTTGATTTTGCCTGCCAGTATGGTATTTAATAAGTAATAAACATTTACTCTCTGTGAATACAATGAGAGAAACAAGAGAACGGTTATAAATACGCACATCCTTCAGTAACTCCTATCCTGTACTTACAGTCATGGCAGTGAACTCTGGAGGATTGTCATTGACATCTGTCACAGCGATGACAGCAGTTGCTGTGTTTGAAAGACCATATGTTGGGTTTCCTTCCATGTCCGTAGCTTGAATTATTAATGTATATTGTTGTACTTTCTAAAACACAAAATGACAACATAAGTTTTAGACAAAACTAACATTACCATAGGACAGCAGGTGCTCCCAAAATTGTGCTCCACCAAGCAATGGAGCCCATCACAGTTTATTCTAGTTCACATCACCCAAAATGACAGGAGCAAAGTTTGTGCCACAAGAATACAGCAGCAGATTGCTTATATCAAACTACAGTTTGACTTTCTTCAAAGAGCAGCAAGGTAAGGACAGGCCGACTGCTTCCTACTCTATAAATCAAACCACTTTAGACAGTTAACGCATGATCACAGGTTTAACAACGCTTTTCAAATGGTGAAAAGAGAACCAGAGTGCACCTTATACTAAAACAAGGGAAAGTCCTCAAAAGCATTTGAGAGCACTGAGCCAAGGTAGGTTTGTCGGCCAAACGGCCACAACTGCCAAGGTTTTGTTTCAGCCAAGCCCGAGTATAAAACTGCTGCTGCAACTTCTTGTGATCTCTATGGAAACCAAAGATGTCGAGGCCAACAGAGACAAGTAAGGGCACTGGGAGAAAGGGGGAGGGAAGCACCAAGCAGGCTATTTCCATAAATGTTAAAACACCCTGGCTGAGTATGGCAGCCATGGGCCCCCTCTCTCCCCAGTGCCACTAACGGCCCTTGAGCCGGGCACTCGCTCCCCCCCTCACAGCTGGAGTGGGGCCAGGGTCCCTAAGCACCAGAAACGCCTGGCAGAGACCCCACCTCAGCCTGGTGAGCTGTTTAAAACAACACCAAGGTTCTATTGAAACAAAAAAAAAAAAAAAAAAAAAAGAAACCCATAAAGATGTTTTCTGTATAGAACTGCTGTAAAGTTTGTTTTAACTCATTGCTCTCAAATATTGCACATGTTCCTTCATTTACCAGTTCACTGTCCTTCCTCAGAGAGAAGTGTTACCATTCAGTTCTTCCCAAAATAAAGGACATGAACATAAGGAACTGCTATTACTTTGAAACAGCACTTTCACAAATGGCTTACTAACTCTGGCAAAAACCTTTTGGCAAAAATAAAAATATTTCAAGAAGAGTCTATTTTTATGCTTTGGGTTTTTTTTCCCCACTTAGTACGTTATTTTCTTCCCCTCTTTGAAGAGTGGGGTATATGACAGATTACTTCTCATGGAAACAATTTATAGAATCATGAAACATGCTGAGTTGGAATGAACCCATCAGGATCAAGGAGTCTAACTCCTGACCCTAAGCAGGACACCCCTAGAGTAACACCATTAACAAAAAAGGATTACAAGTATTGATACAAAAAATAAGCAGGGATAATTCCACTGATAGTATTTAGCTTTCTTTCGAACTTTGGCCAGACAGTACGACAGACATGAGAGGTTCAACACTGCACATTTCCAAGCAGCAACTATGAGTCACAGAATAGAAAGTTTTTAAAGTAAGCTGTATGGATCTTTATCTCCCACTGAAGACAATGATTTATGCTCATGCCCTCTTTTACACTGAAACCCTTACAAGACACCCCAAAAGTGTACTGCTATAAATGTATCCCACAATTCTTTACATATATATATATATGTATATATATATATATATATGAATTCTGGCTTAGAAAATATACTTACAAACTGACCTTCAAAAGGCTTTAAATATCCTAAAGATTTCCTTCATGACACCAACAAGAGTAGCAGCCATGAGGGAATCAAAGAAATACTTTTACCACTTTCATCTAGGAAAAAATCATACTTTACTTACTGTGAAGCAATAAAATCTAAAGCAGTATTGAAGCAAATCTCACTGCCATATGATTCTATGTTATTGAAACAGCAGGTGCTTCTGATTCATCTGGGTCTTAACACATTGATCCCAGGAAGCAAATTTCATTAAGGAAACTCCATTATTATTACACAGAGACTCAGCTTTCTTAAAATCATCTTACTTAATTCCAACAGAACCAGCACACTAAAAACTTGCCCAGGAAGTGCCCCAAAAGACAGCATATCAGTGTTTTCATTTGGTTCTTTGGTTTTTTCCCTCTTCCCAGCACTCACATACAAAGCGAAATTTCAGAAATCAACATGCACACAACTTTCCAAGCAGGGGGAATTTGGGGGAGGTGGGTCTCCTCTTTTTACTGTGGTTTGAGAAGCAGCCAGCAATAAGCTGTGGAGCATGTGTCAGCAGCCTGCACTGAGACTTAGCAGCAACACATCCAAAAGCGAACTGGCAGCTTCAAGAAAGAACGCAGACCTCATCAGTTCACATCTTTCCACTTCAACACAGGCCAAATAAAAGAGCACTTCACTGAATTGACCTCACGTGAGGCAGGAATGTCAGTGTGTAAATTTAAGTACCCTGCCTGACTTCTTCAGCACCTCCAGCACTAAGGCAGATGTTTTAATGCTGAAGTGAATTCCACAGCAGTAATGGAAGAAAGAAGAGCAGCTGGATCTCATGAAACAGCATCTTTTGAGATAACAAATGAAAGATTTCTTCTGCCTTAAGCTGAGTTTCCTTACCTAAGCAAATCTCCTCCTGTGCATGTTAGCATAGATAATGCATTGTGCATGTTAATCTAAAATACCAGCAGATGAGGAATGCTATCAGAGGAACCACTTTTTATTTTTTTAAATGCCTACAACACTTATGCTCTCATAAAAAATGTGTCACATTATTTAAGAATTTAAAATTCTGTGTAGTATTTTATGACTTTAATTAGAGCTTTATAAAGAGAGATAAGACTTGCAGAAAAGAGTGGAAAGGCAGAAGCAGGCAGACCAGCTGGGGTACATGGACAGCAAGGCACTCTCCCTGGCCCACTGTCAGAAGACGATTGAGCTTTGGCTCTCTAGACTCCCAGTCATTTTAATTTAATTGGCTTCCACAAAATGACTCAGGAAATGGAGGAAGCAAAGCTTGGGAAGGAAACCATTTTATTTCATATTAGTCTAATTTAATATTTGAATGATTTAACACTAATCATTAATATCCAACATGTTCAAGAAATGTTTATATATACCCATTTGGGTATCAGCAGAGTGATCCATCAGGAAAACTGATGGTGAATGACAAGGCTTTTCCAACTGTTAATGTGAGGGTCTAAGCTCCACAGGCAGTTGGTTTCTTCCGAGTTAAATCCCTCCAGTATAGCTAGTCACCAAGTAATAAAACCTCAAGAATTATCGTTATGTCCTTCTGAAAGTTCATCTGTCAAAGATGACCAAGGGATTTTAAAAACAAGGGCAAAGCTGCCCATCATTCTTTTAATTTAATAGGGCAATACTGTAAAGTTCAGCGTTTTCCTTTGCTCAAATCCCTTCTTTTCAAAACCAACTTAAATAGAGTGAATGTTAATAAAACCTCAAAAATTAATTGCAATATCTAACAGTCTGTTTATCTTTTCAAATCTTCTGATTGCCCCTTTCAAACTGAAATGCATCAGAATATTAATAGCAAACGCAGAACTTCAGAAAGCGTTTTTACTCTCCATTTTAAATAACTATAAACAAGCAGCTAAAAGATGAACAGCAGATCCAGTACTTTGGATTTAATGAGCTAAAATGAGGTTAGTAATACAGAAGTTGAAACAAGATGTATTCAAAAGAGATTTGTTTGGATTTTATAGCTTGTTTATAAAATATTGCTTATCTCCTGTGAAGTTTTCAAGCGGTTTAAAAGCACAGTTACTGTGACAGATTTGGAGTTTGGAGGGAAATATTTTTATTCCCAACCTCACAGATGGGTGAATCAGAGCAGAGGATCTGGCAGGCTCCTTCTCCAGTGGTGGGCACAGTGAAGAACTGCCTCGACAGGATGGACCTTGCTCAGCATGTAGCAATGAATTATTGACAGATTATTTCTTTTTATCATTATTATTATTACTATTGCATTGCTTTGCTTTTTTAGTGCGTACCTGTTTCTTAAGTGCAAACAGGCTTACGGGACGAGATCCCTTCCTTGACCCCACATAGCCAAGAGTAACTACATGTATAGAATATGTAGGTCCAATTTTCATCCCTAACATTATTTTCTCTCTTAGAGTTTTGTACAATGGGACTAAGACAATGACCAGTGTCAACAGGGTAAGGAAAGGGAGTAAGTTAAGACTCAGGAGGGGGACAAATATTTCACACTTTCATGAAACTGTCTGGACTAGAAGTGACCTTAAACACCATCTAGTTGCAAACACCCAGCCCTGGGTAGGGACACCTACAACTACACCAGGTTGCTCAGAACGCAATCCAACCTCCACCTTGAACACTCCCAGAGATGGGGCATCCACAATTTCTCTGGGCAACTTCCTCCTGTGTCTTACCACCTTCACAGTAAAGAATTTCTTCCCTTTTCTGATCTAAATGTACCTGCTTTCTGTTTATAGTCATGGCCCCTTGTCCTATCCCTGCATGCCCTTATTAAAAACCCTGCTCCAGTACATAGGCCCCATTTAGGTACTCTAAGGGAGCAATAATGTCTCCCCAGAGCCTTCTCTTCTCCAGGCTAAACCGTCTCAGCTCTCTCAGCCTATCTTCATAGGAGAGATGCTCCAACCTTCTGATGATCTTCACATCCCTTCTCTGGACTTGCTCCAGGCAGGTCACGTATTTCCCGTGCTGAGAACCCCAGATCTGGATGAGCACTCCAGGTGGGGTCTCACAGGAGCAGAACAGAGGAGGAGGATGACTTCCCTTGCCCCACTGGCCATGCTGCTTCTGATGCAGCCCTGGATATGCCTGCAGGTGCACACTGTCAGCTCATGTCCAGACCTTCATCCACCCACACTCCCGAGCCATGCATCTTCACATTATTAAGTGCAACCCAGCCCGTGGGATTAAGACCTGCCGTACCTCTCTGTCAAGCCCAGCTGCTACAGTGATAATGTCACCAGTTTCATTGTTGATTGTAAACATGTTTGGAGAAGGGCTGCTCGGGGCCTGTGACAAGATTCTGTATCTCAGCATCCCATTCTGGGTGTTGGGATCATCAGCATCGATGGCAGTAACAGTCATCACATAGGTACCTAGCAGCAGGATAAATAATTGGTGTTATATAAACAGTTTACACTCAGATCAGATTATACAAGATCACTTTACAAGCAGTGGTCAAAGCACGTATTTCTTTTGGTAAAATCTGCACATTCCTTCTTTACTTAAAACAAACTGGCTAAACTCAAGATTCACCAACAGAGTAATTAAAATACATAAGAGGAGATAAAAATACTCTATGTTTATAAAAGACTAGATTTGCTTATAACTGAAGAAGTTACATAAACAATGAAATCCTACAGTTCTGCCACAAATAACATTTCTGTAACAAGAGAACATCTCATGTTTAGATACTTATGTTATTAATTGGGCCAAAGGAAATATACTTATTGTTCAGAATTGGTGGACATACTGATAGTGACTGAAAATCAATATAAATAATACTCTCTCAAAAGTCTTTCAGATCTCAAATGCCAAGTAAACACTGCAAAGTTAGAAAACACATTTCTGGTGCTAACCTTTCATTTTGCACTTCTGACAAATTAAGAAAGTGGTTTCAGCCTAGTGCAAACTTTAGTCTGAGCTGATTAGAATTTTAATGAGATCTGAACAACACTTAAGTTTTCTCAAGAATTCAAATGACATGATTTCAAATCCCAGTATTTGCAAAGCCTCTGGGAATCAGAACTAGAACCGGATCTAGTGACATTTCGGAAGTCTCTTATACCCTGACCTGTCAACTAAATGAACATCAATGTCTATCATAAAAATAAATGTAAGAACTGTGATGTTACAATTAGGATTTTGAAAACCATGAACCAGAAGTTGAATTCTTAAAGCCTCCTCTGGTTTTAGTTCATGTACATAGCAATTTTGCCTTTTGGAAATGAATCCCAGCATGCTAAAAAGTGCATTAAAAATAGGGTGAACTAAGAGGACAGTATCTGAGATTTTGCTCATCACACTAAAGACATCTTTCAAAGTATTACAAAGTCTGAAGGCATCCCCTTCATCACACCTTCAAAATCATATTATAAATATGATACTTCAAAATAATATCTCTGACTCCCAAAAGCCCATGTATTAC